TAAATTACAAATGGTGTTGATGAATTAAGTGATATCGACTTTGTTGGATTATGTTGTGTTGACTCATAGTGAATTGATTGGTGTTGTACTATGATGAATTATGTTTGAATTATGTGAATTGTGTAGGGTCAGCTACAAGGGCGGATCAAGCACCTGAACGGTGTGAGTAGTAGTACTTTGATGTACCTTTAACCGTATATCGTTATTGATGTTAAATCTTCGTCGTAAGAATTATGTTGACATATATGTTATGTACGCTATGTGAGAAACACTGTGACATTATGGAAACTTCAAAAGAGTTTGTGAAGTTATGTGAGAAACATTATGAAATTATGAAAACATCAAAAGAACTTGTGAAATATGAAATTATGTAACCAAGGGCCATTCGTGAAGATCAAACCTATGTGGCCAAGGGCCGACTTGTGACTTATGAAGCTATGGGGCCAAGACCAAATTTGTGAACTTGTGAATCCAAAGGGCCGAAGGCCGATGTGATAAGGTGTGAATCTATGAAACCCAAAGGCTATTGTGAATGTGTGAACCCCTAAGGCCAAGGGCTGAACTGTGAAATTGTGAAACCAATAAAGTCATCTGTAATCTAATGAAAATGTGCTTACTGTTCATTACTACTTATCAGGAATGTCCTGTTAACTTTACGTTAATTATGTCAACTCATGGGAATGGTGTAACGGTTACCATTAGAACTCTGTTAATTACAAGGCAAGGCAACTATGTTAACATATAAGAATGATTAAACAAAGGTGTATGCTATTGATTAATAGAGCACGTAAAGTAAGTCATTTACCCAAAAGAACTTATGTTCATTCTTGAATGATGGATTCTGAGTAAATATAAGAGTAGCTATGTGTATCCAGATGAATTGAAGTTATTTTGCTACGTTGCTTATGAATTGGAAGTTATCCAGAATCTACGATATAAGTGCAAAGTTTAGCATCATTGTGTGACCCTCATGAGAATGTGAATTAGTCTCTCATTGTTAAGCGTACGATAATGACATGATACAATAAGAAATGCTCTAGTCATGATATGTTCCGTTTGAATTAATGAATGATGTTCAAGTATGTTTCAGGCATGTTTCCAGTATGTTACAAGTTCAAGTATGTTCAGGTATGTTTCAAGTATATATTACAAGTTTAAATATGCTACAAGGTCAAATATGTTTCAAGGGCTTTATGCCAATCTTTCAAGGGCTTTATGCCACATGTTTCAAGGGCTTATAGCCACCATGTTTCAAGGGCTTATAGCCACCATGTTTATGTTGCAAGATTGAACCTAAGGCCATTATGTACTTAGCACAGAATCAGACTAACTATGTGAACTCTACATCTTTATATGCATTGCTATGTGTTATGTTTCAAGTTAAGCATCATTTTATTTATGTATTACTATTCACTGAGCCTGGCTCACTCTCTGTTATGTCTGTTTCTGTAGGTCGCCAATTAGGTGATCAGTCCCAGCCGTGACGCCGCTTTCTTTTGTCAACCTTCGTATGTCCAGGCACTATACACTGCCATTGATTTTGTTAAGCTGATAAGATGTTGGCTTGCTTTTCGAATGTCTATCTAAGAGTGATGTATATAGCTTTCGTGTTTTTGTATATGCCCAATGATAGGGCTGGGTCTGTATATATGTATGTATATAACCGATGTCCAGGTGTATGCTTTAGATTTTATTTGTTTGTTAAAAGTTTGTGATTCTGGCATGATAGTAGTAGCTCAATGAAGTTTGTTTAGTGCTTTCGTTTAGGCCCCATATATATAGATATAAAACAGGTTAAGTGTCCGTTTCTGAAGTGGTCATGCCCAAACTTCTAGGGACGGGTTTGGGGCGTGACACACTGGGACCCTGTAAAGGAGAAAGGATTGGCCCTCAGAGAGAGTGAGCTTCAACTCATTAATCCAATCTGGGTTAGAAGGGAGAGGAGGAGCAGTCAGAGGTTCCCTGGGTGAGTCCAGAAATTCAGGCCTGGTCACGCATTCTAGCCAATCAGAGGGGTAAAGTTTTGCCTTTTTGGCTAAAAGCGCAGGATTGATCCCTAGAGTTTCAACGGGATGTGGGACATTTCGAACCATCCGAGATGGCAAGGTAGAAGTATGCCATGATGTAAGCAAATTGTCTTCAAGGCTGCGGCTACGATTAATAGAAACATATGGATATACTACTGAACTGTGTTTGGAAGGAGGAATGTCAAGAGAGTCATCGAATTCAGGGAAACGATGATGAATGCGTTCCCTTGTCTGAGGTTGAGCAGTAGTGGACCAAGTTCCCCAGCCAGAAGCCATAGAAGAAGAAGAAGAAGAAGTAGCAGCTTCATCCTACGCGGATAGTTTCGCTCCAAAAAAAGAGCTTCTGATATCCATGATTGCAAATTTGTGTTCTAGAGAATCGTAAGTAGTAGGTTCTTGGTTCGAAGGACGGTGATTTGCGAAAGCTTCCATAACTTGTATAAATGGAGGTGGATAAAAATGGCTAATCAATGCATGAAGGTTTTTTCAAGGACGAACAGTGTCATCAAATAACTCTTCGTATGCATGATCAATGTAAGAGAAGATTGGCTTGGCTATAAAAGATGTATCAGTCTTTTCGAATACTGAGATAGTGGGAGTGTTCAAGGGTTAGACGAGAATTTAATGCAAATGATTAATGACAGTTGCATTTCTGACAAATGTAAAAGCCCATGCACGTTCTAAGACGTGGATAAAATGCCTTAATCCACTAATATCACCAAGTATTGGTTATATTAGTGCGGAGGGTAATGTTGGCTATATATTTTGTACGGGCCAATTACAGTTCAACACGTGCCAGGTTAAGGGTAATACAAGAAGACAATTCAAACCTTCGATCGTGATCGTACACGTGGCAGTTAGTATTGGTTTTCATAAGATCTGCGTAGTACTGGATCAACAAAGAGATGCAAAGTGATGTGGTTTCAACGGTTACTCACATTTAAATTCAAAATTAGGAGGGAAGCCTAACTGCAGGTATTGGCATAGTGGAGCTAACTATAAGGCAAAATGATCGGCGATCATGGAGAAACGATTCGACGGTTAGAAATGCAATTTGATGGTTATCCTTGAGAAGTATAAATAGCAGAGAAGGCCCCAGAAAAACACCCGAACTTAGATCCATAAAACTAGTTTATCAACTTTATTTCTTTTCTAGTTTTTACATTTTCTGTTCTTTACATTTCTATACTTTAAAATTCCTGCACTGTACTTCGTTCATAGGAGTAGTTTCAAGTAGATTGTTGCTGTAAACCTCTACGAGGCTGAATTGGATCATTGTAAGTCTTTCATTTTTACTTAATGAAATGCTACAACTGTTTTTCATTTAATCATTGTTTGCTTAATTCTCCTAAACAAAGCCACCAGTAAAAGTCTTTTTCATTGAGGCTGAAAGAACTAAAAGACAATCGTCTGATAATTGGTTGGCAATTAACATTCTGTAAGGACTGATTGATCCTTGCTGGCACGCTCACAATTACAAAAATAACCTTCGAAAGCCAAAAAAGCCAACACTCTTCGACGGCAAAACAACACAATTAGACCAATCAATTATAAATTTGCATTACTTTTTTTATCGAAATTTTAGTGATATGTGTCTAGTGTTTAATTATTAACAATTACATCATCTAAACATTTAAGTAATTAAAGAGGGATAATATTTAGTTTGTTTGGTTTAGATTTTTAGGATTTATGCTTAAGAAAATTGAAATTTTTTATTTTCTGTATTTTTTATTTTTACTAATTTTTTTAATATTCTAAGCAACTTTTAAAATTTTTAGATACTAACATAAACACACTTAAAAGTATAATATTTGTGAAAAAAATATTTAGAAAATCCATTAAATATAAAAAAAATACACCAAAAATACGAGAATTCAATACGTTTTTTGTATTCTTGTATATTTACTGATTTTTTTAAAATATATTTTTTTTTATAAATAATTTACTTTTTAGATATATTTAAGTAAGGTGTATCTAAAAATATTCACTAAAAACAAAAAAATAATGAAAAAAAAAACTCAATTTTTAAAAAAATGAATTAAGAAAATTAAAATCAAATACACTCATTATTTTTATAAAAATAAACTAATATAATTTCACCTAAAAAAACATATGCGGTGATTGTGAGGAACAAACAAAACATAATAATCTTGGCCGAAGTAAACCAAAAAGAGATTATGATAACAAGGAGCTTGGAGCTCTAAAAGTTTAACAAAACCTATTATTAGATACTACGGTCATATTTGTTTAGTTGATTAGGATAGAAGGGAATTAAGAATATAATAAAATTAATTAAGGAGATTATTATGTATTTGGTAATCATAGGATTATAGTATTAATATGTAAAATTAATATTTTTTAATTTTTACTATTTTTTTAACAATATAATTATTTTTTTCCTCAAAAACATATAATTTTATTTTATAAAATATTCATTTTATATTGTTAAAGCAGCAAAGTAGTTTCACATTCCTCAAAAAAAGAAAAAATTTGATGATTTGAGCTCGTTGTTCTCCAATATTGTATAATTCATAAATTAATTTTTCAATCCCATTTCTTGTGAGGAAAAACTAAACTAAACTAATTGTGGTATGAGAACAATCCCACTCACTAATAAAACTACCAAATAAGTCATCAAGACTTACTTCATTAACAATCCAATCCTACTTCCGAAGACAGCCAAAAAACATGGCCTAATGGAGAGGGTTTTTAGCAGGGCTGGTATAGGGTTATCCAACCCGTACAATCTGCCCTACCCGATTCTACCCAGCTCGTACATGACAATCGACCTTTGCAATCAATTCTCTCTCTCCGATAACTCTGAGGTAAGGCTCTCTCTGTCTCGTTCTCTCTCCCCGATTTGTGTTTTTTTAGGCAATCAGATCTGTCTTACCCTCTCTCATTTTTCATCTACACAACTCGTATCGATTAACCTTGATCTTCTCATCTCTATCTCGTTTTTCATTTACGCAGCTCGCACACGACGATCGACCTTCGCAATCGACTCTCTCTCTCGGCAACTTTGAGGTAATTCTCTCTATTTCGCTCTCTCTTTCCGATCTGTGATTTGTATCTCTGTCTCTGTCTCTTTCTGTCTCTGTCTCTCTGTCTGTCTGTCTCTCTTTCTCTGTCTGTTTCTCTCCCTTCCAGATCTGTTTTACTCTCTCTTGTTTGAAATTGTTTGAATTTTTTGAAATTAAATCTGTTTAGATTTGTTTGTGTTTTTTGTTTTTGTTTAATTTTTTGGGGGAGTTTGATCTTTGTAATCTGAATCTGGTGGGTGGGTTAATCTGATCTGATCTTTGTAATTTTAACTTTGTAATATGATCTTCATAATTTGATCTTTGTAATCTGAATCTGTTTAGACTTGTCTCACTCTCTCGTTTTTGTTTAATTACTTACTTGTTACTTTTGAATCTGTTTAATTTGAATCTTTGTAATTTGTTTACTTTTGAATCTGAATCTGTTTAACTTGGTCCTTGTAATCTTTGTAATTTGAATCTGAATTTTTTTTTGAAATTGAATCTGAATTTTTTTTGAATCTAAATTAAATTTGAATGAACTTGAATCTGTGAATTTGAATTGAATTTGCTATTCTGCTATTCTGTTACTCTGTTAATTACTTACTTTGTTACTTATTTTGAGTGGGTGATATTGAATCTGAATTGAAATTGAATCTGATTTTTTTTTTTAATCTGAATTGAATCTAAATGAAATTGAATCTAATTTTTTTTTTGAATCTGAATTGAATTTGTAGTACAATTTGAATGGAGGATACTATTGAATCTCCCGCAGTGAATCTTTTACCTCCAGAATCCTCTAATTTTTAAATAAATCCCCCCTTAGTTGAACCCGAGCGAACCTGAACCTAAGCCTCCTAAACCCTCAAGGAGAAAGAATGATGGTGAAGAGGGGAGAGCACCATCCACAGTTTGGGATCATTTTGATAAGGTTTTTGGGACTGATGGGAAGCGTAGAGCCGTATACAAATATTGTAAGAAAGAATATTTGGCTGAGTCTAGACTTCATGGGACTAGCAATTTGAGGAGTCATATACTCAACTGTAAAGAATATCCAAATAAGGATAAGGATGGTCAACAAACATTAAATTTTAAACCGAAACAAAATGAAAAGGGTGTTGAGGTTGTAGCAACAACGTTTAATTTTGATGCTTGTAAAAGGTTTCTTGTGGTGATGGTTATCATTAATGAGTTGTCATTTAGATTTGTGGAGGGAGTTGGGTTTAGAAGATTTTGAAATGCCATGTACAAATTTAAGTGGTAAGAATAATTACCACAACTGACAGTTATGCTAAAATACTTAGTATTCTCGACAATATGCTTAGAGAGTGCAACTGATCCTGTCAAAAAATTGAGAAACTCAGCAATCTTTTGTGCATTCTTCTCTTGCCAAAGATACCAAAGTAATCATTTTAAAAAGGACAGGCATGATAATAAAATAATAGCAGTCTCATGTACAATATATCTAAAAGTTAATGAACAACTTCATGCAAATCTTTGAACCTAATTCAGCCCATGAGAAGAGAGCCACTTCTACCAATTTATTTTTGTTTTGCAGCCCCCAAAACCAACGAAAACCAGAGAAGATGACTTTTAAACATTGTTAAAAAAAAGAAAAAAGAATAGCAAGTTGAACTCAAGTTATTCAACTCAATTGGTTTACAATCCTTATTTAGTCACAACATTATATATTTTTTTTGAAGTGGCACATTTTGCCAGCAATTTATGCATGCATAACATTACCAGAATTTATACATGAATATATACCTCAATGAAAGAATTACACCTAGAATTATCATATAGAAAGTCTATGAACCCAGAAGCAAAGACAATAAACAGAATCAGAAAATTAGTATGCCACTCACACATGAAATCAATTACAATATTTCAATATATTTTCTCGATATTTTTCTGATTTTATTTTTTAAACAGTAGAACTGCTCATTATCATAATCTTATAAACTTATTCCCCTAATAAAATGGGATCCATAAATTATTCAGAATTAAAGGGTAGTGTCTATGTTTACTTGTAAGTTGTATGAAAGACTTTTGAAGGGCAGTCTCAATCTTAGCTGATAGAACATGCTCTTTTACACATGAATATGAACCCTCCATAGAAGTGCTAAACTTGCATAATATTAGAGAGAGAGATATGAAGCACGGGTACTCCAAAAATATTGCCGTACAAATACCGGGTACTTACCGGGTGCGGGTACGCGTACTAGTACGGTTGCATGTGTACCGGGTACCTCAAAAACACACTAGGTACGTTTTATACGATCACTATAATGATGGGTACGCTACGGGTACGTTTTGGGTACTTCAGGGTACAAAACGAGATTTTTTACAAATTAAAGGGTACCGGAGCAAGTTTTTTGGTCTATTTAAAAAAATTATATAAATTTGGGGTACTTTTGTAATAAACAAAACATGAAACAAATTAAAATTAGGTTCTACTCTATTCGATTGGCTCTCTCTTTTTCTTGATACACAGAGAGACTCCAAGAGCTGAAGAACTCCTTCCTGCGAAGCTATTGAAGAGGTTTAATCGAAGGTGCTAATCGATTCTCTCCTTCAAAGATCACATTCCGGTAAGTACATCTTCGATTCTTCCTCCTCTTCTTCTTCGATTCTTCTTCCTTTTCTTTGTTCTGTCCATCTTCGATCTCTTTGTTCTTCGATTCTTCCACTTCTTTCATTTTTTTTTCCAGATTTTTTTTTTTCTGTTTCTTCGCAGCAAACGAAGAACGAAGACATATCATTTTTCATTTTTTTTACCAGATTTTTGTACTCCTCCTTGGCAGCAAACGACCCCCTCCGCTCCAATGACGACTCCTCTTCTCGTCAGGTACTCCCTCTTTTCCCACCGTTTCTAGGGTTTTGAATGCTGTTCTGTTTTTGCATGCTCTTTCTTTTGAATCTCAATCTCTGTTTTTTTTTTTTTTTCATGTGTTTAAATGCGTATATTAGTATATTCAGTTGGTTTTTTAGACTTTTTGTTGAAATGAGAGGTTTGTTCTGTTGTTATGGTTGTTAAGCTCTTTCTTTGTTTTAGGCTCTGTTTGATCAGAAAGAAAATTTGTTTGAATGTGAAAGGAAAGGAAAGGAAAGAAAGGAAAATATATTTTCTTGTAAACATTTTATTAGGATGAAGTTTTTGCAGGAAAGAGATAGAGAAATTTTTTTTTTATAATTTTAACTATAGGTAACCCCCTTGCATTGCATGGACAAATTTTGTTTTATTATTATTATTATTATTATTATTATTATTATTATTATTATTATTTTTATTTTTGTGCAAGAAATTAAAAACTCAATTACCATTGCTAATGTGTGTTGTATAGAAAAAACTAATTTTGTTGTTGTTTCCTAATCTTTCATGCTAAACAAACTTACCAGAACAGATTGGTTTTTGAATCAATGTGAACAACTTGTGCTGAGTTATATTAAAATTTCATTAAGCTAATGGGTGTAGTGTGTAATAAAACGTTTTTGTTTATAATATCTTTTCTTTGATATACTTAAAAAAAAAAAAGGGGAATTACATCCATATTTTTTATTACACAAATATGGAGGGTGCCCCCCACAGCATTTCACATGTTATCAAAAAAACTGAAACAAATTTTCTTTTTTCATTTTTTTTCCAAATTTTTGTACTCTTTTTTATTTTTTTATTTTTATGTTTCATCTTTTTTTTTTTTTTGTTATTTCTCTTTTTAATTATGTTATTGAATTTAATTTGTATGTTGGATGTTTAGCTATAAATTTAAAATTTAAAAAAAAAAAAAAATTGGCGTACCCCCAGCCATACCCATCCCCTACTTTTTAAAAAATTTGCCGTATTGGCGTACCCGTACCTGTATCCATACCCGCACCTGTGCTTCTTAACTTCAAAACAAACCCTCCAGCCAAATGGGCCCAAGTGTAATCATCTATTAGCACAAGTGCTTTTGCAAACTATAGCAAATGTATTGTAAGTATTGATCTTTCATGAAACCACAAACCCAACTAGCAAAAGCAAATTAACTCAGAAATAGAGGTTTCAATTAAAGCTAATAACAAGTTTTGTGAACTGAAATGAACCCAAAAAACACAAGTTTCAAGAAATTTCTTGGCAAACCTTAACAGTGAGAAGTGAATCAAAGTTATGGTGGATAAGGAAACAAGTTTCTTAGCCAAACAGATGAAAAGGGAAAGGAATAGAATAGATTCAGATGGTATATATAACCAACTAATAACAAAATATACTGTTAGAGACAATCACACTGATATATATAGAGATAAATCACATGCTATAGAGATGAAACAATTAATGGAAAAGAATTGAAGAACAGGGGATAAAAAATTACCAACCTTTTCACATTTGGATCACAAAAAAGTGAAAACCCTAATAAATAGAGAGAGAGAGGATTGTTATTTTTTAAGCTTATCTCTACAGATTACAGAGCTTCTTCATTATATACATTCCACACTAAGTATTTGAAAGAGAGAGAAAAAAGAAAAAGAGAGAGAAGCTCACCAGGCCGGAGAATCACCATGGTCATTGCTGCTGGATGAGTGAGAGAGAGTGGCGTAGAACAGAAGTGAAAGCCCTAGCTGTATCAAAACACATGGAGAAATGGGACTGGTGCCCATCCCGATGGGGATTCAATGGCATCGGCCTGACCCTATAGGTGAAAAACCTCGTTTTTTACCTATAGGGTATGTGTTTCCCCGTTTTCCACCTATAGGGTCGGACCGGTGCCATTGAATCCCCATTTCCACCTATAGGGTATGTGTTTCCCTGTTTTCCACCTATAGGGTCGGGCTGGTGCCATTGAATCCCCATCGGGATGGGTACCGGCCCCGTTTCTCTATGTGTTTTGATACAGTTAGGGCTTTCGCTTCTGTTGTATGTCACTTTCTCTCACTCCTCCAGTAGCGCTGACCGTGGTGATTCTCCGGCCTGATGAGTTTCTCTCTCTCATTTTCTTTTTTCTCATTCTCTTTCAAATACTTAGTGTGGTATGTATATAATGAAGAAGCTCTGTAATCTGTAGAGATAAGCTTAAAAAATAACAGTCCTCTCTCTCTCTCTATTTATTAGGGTTTTCACTTTTTTGTGATCCAAATGTGAAAAGGTTGGTAATTTTTTATCCCCTGTTCTTCAATTCTTTTCCATTAATTGTTTCATCTCTGTAACATGTGATAGTGTGATTGTCTCTAACAGTATATTTTGTTATTAGTTGGTTATATATATTATCTGAATCTATTCTATTCCTTTCCCTTTTCATCTGTTTTTTGGGTTCATTTCGGTTCACAAAACTTGTTAATAGCTTTAATTGAAACCTCTATTTCTGGGTTAATTTGCTTTTGCTAGTTGGGTTTGTGGTTTCATGAAAGTTCAATACTTACAATACAATTGCTATAGTTTGTAGAAGCACTTGTGCTAATAGATGATTACACTTAGGCCTATTTGGCTGGAGGGTTTGTTTTGAAGTTCCTAAACATTCTCTCTCTCTAATATTATGCAAGTTGTGCACTTTTATGGGGGTTCATATTCATGTGTAAAAGAGCATGTTGTATTAGCTAAGATTGAGACTGCCCTTCAAAAGTCTTTCATACAACTTACAAGTAAACATAGACACTACCCTTTGATTCTGAATGATTTATGGATCCCATTTTATTAGGGGAATAAGTTTATAAGATTATGATAATGAGTAGTTCTACTGTTTAAAATATAAAATCAGAAAAATATCGAGAAAATATATTGAAAGATTGCAATTGATTTCATGTGTGAGTGACACTAATATTTTGGTTCTGTTTATTGTCTCTGCTTCTGGGTTCATAGACTTTCTATATAATAATTCTAGGTGTAATTCTTTCACTGAGGTATATAGTGGGTGTTTGGGAAGTGGGTTTTTTTGTAGGTTTTTTTGGTTGTAGGATATTATTGGAGAAATTTTTTTTTGTGTTTGGGAAGATAGTTGGGTTTTTTTGTGGTTGGATGTGATGTTTGTAAGAGAAAAAGCGAAATGATTATGGAGTTTGATGTGATATTTTGTTTGAATTTGTTTTTTTTTGGTTTTGTAAAACATTTGTCTTGTAGTGAAAAATATCAAAAAAAAAAAAAAACCCAAAAACCAAGTTCCTAAACACCGCCATATTCATGTATAAATTTTGGTAATGTTATGCATGCATAAGTTGCTGGCAAAATGTCACTTCAAAAAAAAAAAATATAATGTTGTGGCTAAATAAGGATTGTAAACCAATTGAGTTGAATAACTCGAGTTCGACTTGCTATTTCTTTTTTTTTAAATGTTTGGAAGTCATCTTCTTTGGTTTTTGTTGGTTTTTGGGGCTGCAAAACAAAAATAAATTGGTGGAAGTGGCTCTCTTCTCATGGGCTGAATTTCAAAGATTTGCTTGAAGTTGTTCATTAACTTTTAGATATATTGTACATGTGACTGCTATTATTTTATTATCATGCCTGTCCTTTTTAAAATGATTACTTTGGCAAGAGAAGAATGCACAAAAGATTGCTGAGTTTCTCAATTTTTTGATAGGATCACTTGCACTCTCTAAGCACATTGTCGAGACTACCAAGTATTTTAGCATAACTGTCAGTTGTGGTAATTATTCTTACCACTTAAATCTGTACATGATTACTAAAATTCTCTATTTTTTATCTGATAATCTGGAAGCTTGATAGATACCTCAAGTATTTATTAATGCTTTAGAATTTTCTCTTTTATTAAAGTCATTAATTTTTCACTTGTGAAGTTGTTTGAGTGTTTAGAGATAGAATGTTATGGGAGCAGATTCTGCTTATCATTCTTTATGATTTTATTTAGAAAATTGAGAGTTTAACATGATTTTATCCATAGTAGATGATCCTAATACCTTTTTCCCGTTCTTACTTTGAGAGTATTTTACATGATTTGTCATCTTCTATGTGATTTTACACCTTCTATCTTTCTTAGTATATTATGGCTTTATGTTCTCCAGAGTTTTTAAGGATTGAAGATGTCTGAATCTGAAGCTGACGCAAACTCTCAACTAGGCTTGAAATCCCTGTGAAGGTAAAGGTGAAGGTGAAGGTGAAGCGATTTAGATTTTTAGATACGTACACTCTTTTTTTGCCATGAGACGAAGCTTGGGAAGAATTTCGAGTCCCACCATCGGCAATGCCACCAAACACAATTTGATCGCCTTCTCCTCCTCCGCTTTTTCCACCTTTGCTGGTGGCGGTGGCGGTGGCGGTGGAGGTGGAGGTGGAGGTAGAGGTAGGGGATGAGGCTCCTCCAACTTCCAATTCACCATTCCCGCCTCCACCAACCCCGCCCCGCCTGCCCCTGGTGATGGTGATGGTGATGACGATGATCCAAAAGGCTTCCCATCTGGGATGGGTCATGACCGAGGTAAACCCCTCCCTGGTACCCCTATTCTTCCATCATTTTCTTCCTTCATCTCTTCCGTTGTTAGTAGTAGTGGTAACAACAACACTACTACTGGACGTGGCAGAGCCCCTGCCCCTCCTTCGCAATCTGAGCATGAGCTTAAGAGACCCATTTTCTTTAGCAAAGAAGACGCGACTGATTTGACCACTCCCTCTAAAATCCAAATTGGAAATTCCCTAGACAGCAACCTCCCCTCCAGTATTTTATCTGCCCTGTCTAGTGCCGGCCGTGGAAAGCCCCTCGCTAAACAATTGCTTCCCGACGACATGCCTAAGGAAGAAAATCGCCACCTCAGGTCCCGTCATACTGCTATAGGGAGAGGCCAAGTTCCGTTGTTAGTAGTAGTGGTAACAACAACACTACTACTGGACGTGGCAGAGCCCCTGCCCCTCCTTCGCAATCTGAGCATGAGCTTAAGAGACCCATTTTCTTTAGCAAAGAAGACGCGACTGATTTGACCACTCCCTCTAAAATCCAAATTGGAAATTCCCTAGACAGCAACCTCCCCTCCAGTATTTTATCTGCCCTGTCTAGTGCCGGCCGTGGAAAGCCCCTCGCTAAACAATTGCTTCCTGACGACATGCCTAAGGAAGAAAATCGCCACCTCAGGTCCCGTCATATTGCTATAGGGAGAGGCCAAGTATCCACTGACACTAAGAGCAGTGCAACCCCAAAGTTGAGCCGCGAGGACGCTGTGAAGAAGGCCGTGGGGATATTGTCGAGGGGAGGTGTTGATGTGGCAGACAGAGCAGAGGACGGTGGGACGGGAAGAGGCAGTTTTAGAGGGAGAGGCACTCGTGGCGGTGGTGGCCGAGGGAGGGGCTGGAGAGGTAGAGGAAGAGGCGCAGGAAGAGGAGGCCGTGGGGTTCAAGATGCGGACGATGACTATGGAGCTGGCCTTTATCTTGGTGACAATGCTGATGGTGAGAAATTGGCTAAGAGGATTGGGCCCGAGAATATGAATAAATTGGTGGAAGGATTCGAAGAGATGAGCGGTAGTGTGTTGCCTTCTCCTATGGATGATGCCTACTTGGATGCTCTCCACACTAATTTCATGGTAAACCATATTGTATTTCTTTATTAATTAGTACCAGAGTAGGCAATTTTCGCTAATAGTTATCTGACATCTTACTTCTTCATATACTTAGTGGTTTTGAAGATTGAATGCGAACAGAGTACTTGATGGAGGAGTTTGGTACAAACCCAGATATTGACGAGAAGCCGCCCATTCCTCTTTGGGATGCACTTGAGAAGATGAAGCCATTCCTAATGGCTTATGAGGGAATTCAGAGCCAAGAAGAGTGGGAGGTATGCCTAAACCCTATATTCTCCTATCATATTTCTTAGGCTGATTTTGTTTTTCTTTTGAGGCACTAAATATTGGTTTTTACAACTTAACAGTTGCTGGTTCGAAAAAGGCAATAGGTCATAATCATGTTTTTAAATGGTTGTTTTCTTCTTCTTCTTCTTTGTTATTTTATTTAAAAAATTACTGTGTTAGAACGTGTAATGAACAATATCTTGTAATGCTAATACCCTTCTTGAACTATGTTTAGGTTTTTGTAACTCATAATCGTGGTAATTTTTTTTTGATATTTTCTCTGTTAGTGTTTCTTTGACCATCTTGCTCCTATGTTTTAGGGCTAGTTTGGCATGTACTAAATAAGCCAAAAAGTCAAAAAGTTACTATCTTATTTCAGTCACATCATCTTATTTAAATCACATCACCTCTCTAACACATCACATCAAACCCAACCCAAACCCACCAATAAGTCAAAAAGTGCACTTTTTTAGGATATCCCAAACCAACTCTTAGTCTAGTCAGTGCTGTATGTTTGATTTTATTTTGCCTATCATATATAGTCGGTGATAATTCACTCTTCCACTGGTATTTATAACCTAGTTAGTGTTGTCTCTATAACATACATTACATCCTGATCAATCTCTCCTTTCTTGTGATATTCGGTTGACTAAGCTAGGAAATTGTGCTCGTAAAGGACAGATGATTGGCAACCTTTTGTTTTAGGCATGCTTTTCCAACAAGAAACGGTGTTCTGGGAGAGATTTTTTTGGTGAAGATTAGCATCTATAGACTTAACTGTATTAGCGTCTATGCTTAAACTATGGACCCTAATTACTGTATTGGTTGGGCTCATTGAACTTTTTGGTTGCGCTCAATTCCAAGAGACATTGAAACAAAGAAACACCTCTTACGCACAATGTTAACAAATCTAGAAATAAATTTTCTAAGACATGGGTTCTTTTTTGTTGGACCAAGCACAAGCCCCAAGAATCGACCATGTGAAATATTCCCAATAACCACATCTTCTGCTCCCCTTTATTTATCATTAATAGTCTTGTAAATAAAAGCATCTTTAATTAGCAAAGCAGTCCTGCTTTCTTTTCTTTTAAATAGCTGATAACATTGCAACTTAAACTACTCTGTTATGGAAAATCTTCTATGCCATGTGGTTGGCATTACAAACTAGCCACAATTTTCCTCCATGGGTCTGTTTGGTGCGGCTTATCTGAGCTGCTTATAGCTTTTTTCTTTTTTTATTTTGTATTCTAGGAGTCTGTGTCAGAATGTTTTGTGCAGTTTTTTGCTTAGAACTTATTAGATAGAAATAACTTAAATACGCTAAAAAAAGCTAATTATATGAAAGTTGGGGGAGGGTTGCTTTTAGTCTCTGCTTTCTGATCATTAGCTTTTAGATTACAATAAGCTTCATCAAACATGTATGTTGGGCTGAGACTGATCAATCACAAAGCAAGGAATGCTAAAAAGAAATGGTTGACCGGTTTTAAATGTGATTTGAAGAGCTTGCATTATAGAATTTTCTCAACTCTCCAGATTATGTCCACAGTTGCAGACTAGAAAATGAATGTTACTTTCTTTATCACCATGATTCAATACTTGATGCTGCATTCTTCTGTATTTTCTTTATCATCCTCTGTACAATTTGTTACTGGTTCACCACTGCTGTGTTCATTCTCCTTTATTACAATAGTAATGGAACTTGTTGGGTCAGTGCTGCCTTAATCCATAATCAAAGCATGTCATTATTTTTAGTCTTTATGTTGAGGCACATGCAACGACTTTTGACATCTTATAACTTAGAAACTTTAAGTTGTTTTTAATATTTTTTTTCTTTTTCCTTTTTTTCTGCATGCAACCTTGAGTTATGCAAGGTCATTTTTTTCTTGCTTGCTGATTAACTACATAATGTGATTGTATTTTCTCTCCTGACTTTAAGGTCGCAACATTGGGAGACATATGCTTGTGCTTGTTTCATCACAAAAATTTAGTCATTTCACCTTTTTTTCTTTTTGATTATTTATAGCTGGATTTTGATTATTTGGAGATATGGTCTCATTCAGTAGCACTTCGTTATTTATAAGGTGTCTTGGTTTTCGATGCTCCAAAGAGGTAATAATATTCTAGATTTCCTCCAGCTAAATAGGATGACCTAGTGCACAAGACTCCTACTAAAGTAAAGTTGGGGAAGGGCAAGATGTACACAACATGTCTCCCATATTTCTAGAAATGCTGTTTCTAGGGATGGGATAGGGTTTTCTTCAGCTATGCTCAATATTACTTTTCCTGATTATAGCTGGATTTGGATTCTTATGGTTGATGCTCCACTCCGTATTGATGGTGTGGTTGTTAAAATCATGATTCGGTGTAATCCTAAAACTCTTCATAGAACCAAACATGCAACCTCTCCCTACTATTAAAATACTTCAATAAAGTGGCAATTTCATAAAAAGAGCTCTCTCGGCTTCTGACATTGATTTCCATTAGACTCTACCAGCTTTACCAATAACAACATATTTAATCTCCGGATGCATCTGATTTGAACTACTTCTCATGAAGATTAAATAAAGCACTAATAGAGGATTCTTCGGTAAAATTCTCCCTCCAAAATGGGACTGTTCCAACACATTAGGAGGCTTCACCACTCTATTATCCCCTACCAAACACCCATCCTTGATCTCCTTTCCGCGCTGCCCCACCAAAGCTCCCCTTACCTTCTTTCCATTGTAATCAATTATACATTAAAACTTTTTAAATTTCTTGTTCTTCCTAGCAGATGATTTTCCCTTCCCTTATTCATCTAAACCGTATAGCTCTTGATTTATCATTGTCAAGACAAGTACAATCATGGATCTTCCTACCATCTTCCTAACCATTAGTTCAAAATTGTACTTGACTTAGGTTACCACCTTTATCATTAGTGAGGTTAAACTTCTTAAATTTACCAGTGTTCTTATCAATTGTTATGTGAACTAAAGACCCATTATCATCAGTTTGAAGTGAACCCTTAGAAACAAAATCCTTCCTTTACTAGATCCTATCTCAAACACTGATGGAACCTACAAAATGGATTATCATTTGAATCGTCAAGGCTCTCCACCTCAACTCCACAAGGAGGAATCACAGCCAAAGGAGACGCCACAGATTGCATTTCCACGATAGAATTAAGCTTAACCACAACCTTCTTATAATCTAAACCTCCCTCCAAGGAATGTGAGTACTTTTAACAAACCCAATGTCACCCTACTGAAGCAACTTCAACACTTTATGTAAATCTAATACATCCTCTTCCTTTTAACCAACATCAACCGCAACATCTTATCAAGCTTTTACCTCATCTTGACCTCCTAAAAGAACCCCTCCAATAGAAAAATTACCACCCTTGTCTGAACAAGCCGTCATAGGGTTCCTTACAACCTCTGAAGTAGATGAAACCCTTCTAAGGATATAAAGGTTGAAGAACACTTGAAACTCTCTCAAGAACTCATAGGGCTACTCAAACTCAGAGGCATAAGCCCTTAAAATATATTAGGTCATTTCTGTGAGCATAGACATGGCAAAATCAGTGCCGTAGCGGTGTTGGACATAGGGACACACCGGGGACATGCCATGGACAAGTACGGGACAAGCCATTTGCGGTGTCCCTTATTTTGTTTTATTTTTTATTTTTTGTGTTTTTAGTGTGGGACACAGCCGGGACAAGAGAAGAGACCTAATTTTAAAATCAGAAGAAAAAAAAGAGGGAAGATATTTTCTTGTTTTGTTACTCTCTCCAAACTCAAGTTGGTTAGTTCCTATCCCCCTTGAGTTTGCGGAGGCTGTTAAAACCTACTACACCTACCACCACCTACTACCACCTACTACACACCTACCACTACCACCTACTACCACCTACTCCACTACATCTCCTATATAAGGAGCCCCTCACCATTTGTAATATACATTATTCAATCAATCAATAATACAATCAATATCTATACAATTCTCTATTTTTCTTTATACATTAAATTTCTACATATCCTGGTAAGCTTCTCGTCTCTGGTCCTCTCGCCTTTCGTCTCTCTTTTTCTGTCTTCTCGCCTCTCGTCAGTCTCTTTGCCTCTCGTCTTCTCATCTACAGTCGCGATCGATCAACGAACTCCATCCAGTGTCTCTCTCTCACCTCTCGCTTGCTCGTTTTGTCTCTCTCACCTCGTGATCCATCGACGAGCTTGTCACTCTCTCTCTCTCACTAGCCCTCTGTCTGGCTTTCTCTCTCACGTCACGATCTATATATGTATGCAAGGTCATTTTTTTCTTGCTTGCTGATTAACTACATAATGTGATTGTATTTTCTCTCCTGACTTTAAGGTCGCAACATTGTTTTTTTTTTTTTTTTTTTTTTTTTTGGGGGGGGGGGGGGGGGGTTTCCATGTCCCCTGTTGTGTCTATGTCCCCATTTTTTGAAAATTGCAGTGTCTCCTGTCCATGTCCATGCTTCATAGGGTCCTTCTATATATGAAAAGAGCAATTAGAAAGCTAAAGCAAGTCAGATTAGGGCAATTTGTGCATGAGCACTGCTCATTGGAAGAAAAACCAATAAAAAATAGGCTCAATCGCTTGATCTCTAAGCGAGCCCTAAGTGAGTGCTCCAATCTGGAAATATCAATAGCAAAATCAATGTCTGCACAATGGTGATTGATTACTTTTAAATGGGCTCGATTGTTATTCTACTAGGGTGCTCTAGTGCTTATCAAGTGCGCATGAAGGCTCAAGCGTTTATCAAGCCCTTGTCTCTAGAAATGTGCAAACTCACTAATGTTTCTAAAAATTATCATATGGTCAATGCAATACTCATCTAATGCAAAAAGATTAAAATTAGTGCACTTTGAAAAGATAAATGCATTAAATTGCTTTTTGTTGTGGATAGGGACTGTAGCAGTAATTTTTTAAATATATAATATTCTGTTGTCATTCACCAGTTGCTTTTAACTTTTATCTTTTCAACTTTTCAAGGAAGTTGTGAAAGAAACAATGGAGAAAGTCCCTGTTATAAAAGAGCTTGTGGATCACTACAGTGGACCGGACAGAGTAACTGCTAAGAAACAACAGGAAGAGCTGGAAAGGGTTGCAAAAACTCTTCCTCAAAGTGCACCTGCTTCAGTCAAGCGTTTTACTGATCGTGCTATTCTCTCTCTCCAGGTGGGGCTTCTTTGTAATGCTTTATGTTAATTCTACATTATGGTTTACATAATGGTGCTAAACTTGACAGGCTCTACATATTTTGTTGATTCTGTGGCTTTTTAAGCTTTAATCCTGGTATGGGGGGTTTTGTGGCACCATTGCTAGATATGTGGTACCTGTTGTGGTCAACCACGAAGATGGGTGCCATTGGTTCTATGTGAGAGATTGTTTTATATATATATATACACATATTGGGGAAAGTATCCGAATACAAAATAATTTCATCTAACAGAGAAGGAAACAAAATAGGAAATGTAGAAGCAAGAGAATAAGCTGTGTGATTTGCTAAATTACCTGTAAACCTTGGTAAAAAGATATGGCTTGCATTAGCACATGCCTCTTTGATGTTTGCTAAATCATCTGATTGCCCTGATTTCTACCCATGTTAATTGGTAGGGTAAATTACAAACACACTCCCTGAGGTTTACTTAAATTATAAATTACCCCTGTGGTTCTAGAAATTACATTATGTCCCCTAAGGTTTCTAATTTCATAACAAATAGGTCTTTTTATTAATAAATCATTAAGTTAATTAACAATTTTTAATAATGTTAAAATTTTATTTCAATTAATAATTCAGATAATTTTATTATTGTATAGGTGAACGGTTAGAAATTTCACTTTTTTTAATTAATTTTGTTAAATAAAAAATTGCGACATGGAGGTATTTGTAATTTTTCAAACCACAAGGGACAATTCGTATTTTAAGCAAACCTCAGAGGGTGTATTTGTAGTTTACCCTAATTTGTAAATGAGACATGTATTATTAAATTTGATTTTCGTAGTGATTCCTGCGTAAAATTGGGAGTGCTACCAATGAAACACTAAAGAAAGTATATAGGGAATGTTTGTTGATGTCAGTGTATTATGTTTGGATAATTTCCTCTTTGTTGATATGCTTATCTCCCTCATTTTTTCATTGTTATATATATGTATATAAAAAAATCTTGCTAAAAATATTAAAACAACTTGCATAAATCTACAGAAAAGAATCTGAAAGGAATTATGAGTGGGTAAAAGAAATTTGAAAGAACTCCCTTGATGTTTATGACTCCTCTTTGATTTGAAATTCTGCACAGGGAAGACTTTGTAATTTGTTTGTAATATGATATATATAATGCAGAGCAACCCAGGCTGGGGATTTGATAGGAAATGCCAGTTTATGGATAAGCTGGTGTGGGAGGTCGCACAGCATTACAAGTAAGCTTTGGAATTTGCAGACAGGAGTGAAATGGATTCACAATTTTGATCATTGAAGGTGGTTGTCATTAGGGAATTTCGAGTGCTGCTGCTGGTTCATTGAGGAATAATTATATTCTTACTTTTTCCTTTGTTGAATACTGAAATTTTATTCTGTATTTGCCCTGTCTGTCTTTTGAGGAGTGAGGATTTTGTAGGGCAAATTTGATGTTGTAATAATTTCTGTTAAAAGTCGGTTTTTTTTTTTTTTTTTTTTTTTTTTGGGGGGACCAAAAAAAAATTTAGAAAAAGTGATGTGATCCAAAAAATCTAAAAAATTAGTCTTCGTTTAGGAAGAGTTAAAATAACTTGGCTTTTTGACTATTTTAACTTAGCTTTTTTAGCTTCGTTTGATTTTTATTTTCGGCTTTTTTGAATTTTGCCTACGTTTGGGAAGAAAATTTTGGGGCTTTTTTGGCTATTTTAGCCACAAAAGACAAAATAGGCTATTTTAGCCACAAAAAACAAAATATCACATCCAATCCATAATCATTACACTCTTCCCTCACAAAAAAAGTCAAAAAAGCCAAAAAGCCAAAAAGCCCTTCCCAAACCAAGTTTTTTAGCCCAGGCTAAAATAGCCAAAAAACCAACCCACTTCCCGTATGAGAGAAAAAGTGTACGCCTAATTTCTTAATATTTCTATTAAATTAAATACAACTTTCATTAAAAAATAATAAATAATAAAACTCATCGCTCATATGATATTATCCAGTTTTGTCATTCCTTTTGGTGCTTATAATTTTTTGTTTTGGCAACACACTTAAAAGAAAGAAAAAAAAAAAAAAAAATTAAAACTCAGTTTTTAACTTATTTTGAATTATATTACTTCTCATATAAAATAGTGAAAAAAGTAAAAAAAAAAAAATCAAAAAATTAGTTTTTAACCATCTTCTCAAACCAAATAGAGCGTAAATATTTCGTTACGAGGGAAAGAAATCAAATATAATGAACGAAAATCTAAAGTTTGTTAAGTTTTGATAGGAAAAAAGAAGGTCCATGACTAATGCTCGTACAAATGTTTTGCTACATGACTAATTTGAAGATAAATAGATAAATAAAAATACATTTAATTTGATGTCTAATTGTTAAAAAATAATTACTATAGAATTACATTAAATGTGTAATCAATACAGGTCTATGGTACTGCATTTTATGGCAGGGAGGGTATCACATTCTTCCGGGACGGGCCACG